GCGACACTCTTTACAACTGTGCTTGTGTCCTGTGACGTTAATGCATGTTCTTTCCACACATATTATTTAGTCTCATTTTTGTTAATGTGTCTGGGAATAATTTTCAATTTTTCCTCATATTAGCAAACATGCCTGATTTCCTATACCCTGAAAATGACACATGAGACTTTTTTGGCCACCTTCCTATGAAAACGCAAACCTCTGTTTGTTTGTTTGTGTGTTTGTTTGTTTGACAGAAACAATGTGTATTGATAACTGCTGTGAATAAGCTCAGGTTAAACAAAAGCCTAATTTTCATCTGTAGTCCCTTGGTTGTTCTCTTTCTTAAGAGGAGAACACACTTAAAAATAAAAACATTTTACATTTTATTGCAGAGCTAAATATATAATAAAAGCAAAGAAAAACTTGAAACTTCTTGATATATTCAGTACAACTGAAAAACAAAAGCATATATAATAATAATAATTATAAAAAATCTAATCAATATAAAATAAAATCTAACCTCTGGCATGTTCTCGCCACGTTTCTCAAAAGAGGCGCCAGATCGTCATTACGGAGATGAAAGAGTCTGACCGGCAAGCGATCAAAAGCAGCGGCGCATAAATCTGGGTCCGTCCAGGACCGGGCCGACACACCTGGTGTCTTTAGTTTGATTACGAGTACCGCCCCCCCCCCCCCCCCCCCCCCACCAGAGCCTGCTGTTGCAGGAAGCGTGGTCCCACTGGGAGGTGGGAGGGGTCGGGCAGGAGGCGGGACAGGCAGTCCCCCCCCCCCCCAAAAAGGAATGACACAACAGGACCAGGGCCAGCTGTATCGCGGAGAAGCAACACACATAAATCCTGACATCCTGAGGAAGATGGACAGCATTGGTGCAGAGTCACAGGTCCCATGGGGCGCTGTGATGTCCCACAGTCCTTAGTGAGCCATCCTTAACATCTTATGGTGACAACAAGACCAGTAAATTAAGATTTAATGTGTAACCTGATGACAAACACTGTAGGCTGGAACCAAACACGATGTGAGTCACTCGTAAAAGTAAGTTTTGGCAGTGAAGCGGTTTGATGGCTTTGGTGGAAGCAGACACCAGAACAGATCCAGCACAAACGCTTCGGCAGGAATCACCTTAAGGTCTGGTGCTTTTAATCGCAGCATGATGGCTGATTCTTCTGGCAGAGAAAGTTCTAGAACAAATGGCAGGCATCAGCATAGTCCCTGACGCACGTGTCCCGAGAGCTGACCTCGGTGTCAGAAAGCGGGGGAAAGTTTCGAAAGTCGGTGGGGCATAGCGCGGGTCCTCACCTCCCCCTCCCCCCACTGGTGACCGTTTGGTTGTTTGAGTTCAACCAAAGTCCTAAAAATGTCCATGTTGACTCAGATGTGGAGATGCTTCCTTCGAATTATGAGCCAACTTGGGTCTTCAAATTGGGGGTGGGAAGGGAACCAGCGAGGGGGTGGACTGTGGGATCATGTCCCAGCCAGTTCTCTCTAGCCTATTAGTTTAAAAAAAAAAAGGCCTTTGAGATGTGCCCCCCCCCACCTTTCCCATAAGTCTAAAGTATATGGTTCCCACAAAGATACACACTATATATGCATCCTTGTTGTTAATGTATGTAGACAATTTTGGGTAAAAGCAAATTAACCACATAGCCCTACTTTGAGTAAACAGCTACAGAAAATGGATTTTTTCCTATTGGGTCATTTTGCTCATTCCCACGTGCAAAACTGCATGTGCCAGGTTTTCTTAATTGCACTGCTGATATGTGCAATATTTTCACATTTATTGTATTGTCACAAGGAGAGAAATACTTGTAACATCACACTTATTTCCTTTAAGCCCCTATTTACATTTTACATTTATTTTATATTATGTTTATTTTATATTTTATTCATCTTATTATTTTCTGTATTTGCATCCATCCTTGAATTCTTTGTTGCGCCAACAAGGATTGTCTTCCAATTTTGTTATACCAAGTGCAATGACATTCATACATTCATGGATGGACGGTTGATATGTATTTTGCAATAAATATAATGAATGTTTTTAGTCTAGGATGCGCATGTTACTTAACGCATGCTTACCCCACTAAATGCAGCCTAAATTCACGTGGGCCTATCGTGCTCTCTACATGAGTATGATCTGTACAATCCGCTGTCCTACACATGAAATGAATTGAGATTCTCCTGCAGGTCCTCTTAACTATAGGAACCTACTTCAAAGTTAGTTTTTTTTTCAGTATATGCCTCATTTTATCAGGTAAATCAGGATGAGATAAATTGAATCCATCTAATATCTGAGTTTTCCATATCCAGTATTCTTATTTATATTAAATGGTTTAATATTCAGCTTTTATACTATAATAGCCATAAAGTTTGCCTTTTAGGTACAGTGAGGTAATATCAATCCTTTAGAGTGCGCCTCCTCTTCTGAGCACATTACGGGCTTGTTCTGCTGTGAAATTAAGGCTTTTAACAAACAGCCCTAATTATGTGGTCTGGACATTAGCGACCACGCTATTGCGCAGGATAGCTGGCGGCTAGTATTAGCTGCTCTCTGTGGCTGTACCAGGCTTCGTAAATTAGATCATCCTGAAAAACGGCCTCTCTGCTCTGTGTCCAAATCACAGATTTTGCAGAAAATCAATCCGGCGTGCTGCATTTTGCCCAGAACATATCTATCCATTTGTTGTCTGACGCTGTCTGTAAACACTGGTTAGTCTACTTATGACCGGCGATGGGGAGGGGGTGGTTCTCCCACATCGGGGTGAAGTCAGGTAATAAGGTCCTATTCACTTACAACCACAGACGACCCCAATCCCTCTCACCAAGGGGTTGAGGGGTTTATATTCAATATTAATGTCCTGCAAATCTAGACTGTGTAACTCAGCTCAGAATGTTATCCTGGAGTGATTTCAAAGTCGAAAGGCCCTCAAACGGCAGTTGTTTCAGGTATTGTCCAGAGGTGGAAATTTCAGATCCAGAGAGTACAAATCCAGACCAAGATTTTGTTTCAACCAACCAGTTGAGTATAAAGAGTCACAGTCACAGAGTAACTCAGCCAGTTAGTCAAAATAAAATCTTGGTCTGGATTTTTACTTTCTGGACCTGAAATTTCTACCTCTGATTATAGCCTGGCCCCAGCTTTCTCAAAAAATGTACGTTTTGGATACAAATACCTGCTATATAAATATGTAAATGCAGCCCTGTGTTCCCATTTCCACTCCTCTTCTAAAGCGTTCTAAAGTTCTCCTTTCTCTCACCATTCCCCATGACATGTGAATCTGTCCAACCTCTGCGGAGGAGAAATCACACAGCGACGCATCTCGGAGATAAGATGACGTGGATGTGGCGGAGATGTTATGATAATACAGCTGGGAGCCATAGGAGAACTGAGCCCTGTGCTTTTTCAGGCTTCAGAAATAAACAAGTCACTCAGGAAGTAAGGTCTAAAAGGCCTTTACCGAGTGGTTGTTGTCTTGAATCCCAGTTGGGCTGCTTGCGACCAATCCCATGCCTGCTTGGCTTAAAAGCCAAACACGGTGACACTTCCCCGTGCCACATGTTCTCACAGTTTGTGGAAGAGTTTCCAGTTTGTGCAGTTATGACATTTTGGACAGTGGGATGCTCCCGTGTTTCCATACGCAGTAACACAAATAGCCATGGTTTCCATGACATCAGAAGAGCCTTCCGCGCTGCCAGGGGGGACCCAGCCGATTGTAAGTGGCTGAATCCGGATGAGGAGGGACACCCTTTGTTTACAGCCTCCTGTTTCCCGGTTGCCCTTCATGCTTCCCAGAGCTGACCCTTCAGTAACGACCCCCCCAACGTCCTTCCACATGTCTAAAGCCAGAGTTACAAAGATAGGTAGCCTACCTGTGTGGACAATATTTTTATAGCACCTGGGTGCATCGTCTGTGCTTTGTTGAAATATGGTTTCAATAAGGACGGAAATTCAGTAGATGTCGTCTAACAGATGTATTTATTAACAGTTTTTTTTTTTTAGGTTGGACATTTTGCAAAGGTCCTGACTCATCAAGCGATCTCTGTCAAGGATCGTCGTGAGCGATTTGAACAGTAATTGCAGTGATTGCAGTTGTAAATGCTTTTATCCCCCTTGACAGCATAAGAAGGAGTCATTTCAGGAGACTTTTCTCAATACACATTTTGTCCAAAAGGACAATAAAACAAAATGTACAACTTTGAACTGCTTGGTCCACCTTAGTCTCTGTGGTTCTGATATGTGCTTTCCATTGTGACTCCAGCAAATCTGCGATATGTCTTATCTTACGAAGAATTTCAGTCCTTCATCATTATGCCACCTGCTGGTCCAAATGTAAAACATGTTTTGGATTTAGCCCAAAATGCAAGTCTTCCTTAAATAAAAACTCTTTCCCAAAGAATGTTATAGCAAAGATTTATTTACATCTAAAGCTAACCGTAAAAAGCGCGTAACTCATTTTCCAGTGCCCCGGGAGGTAATTAAACAAAAAGTAACTACCAGTTCATTCCAGTCTCTTACTGGTGAAGAATGGCTTTTAAATTAGCCCCAGCTGCCTTATGTCCTTTACACCCAAGGTAAACTAAACAGTGTCAGTACTTCCCCTTGGAATTAAATATTATATTAACCCTGACTCTCCCAAAAGTGACATGTACGCACGCTGGGCCTTGACCTGGGGATTAACGGGGGGAGGGGGGGTTACCTATGGTTCACAAAAATCCTTATTCTTGCTCACACACAACTCTAGGTGAAGCTGACGCCTGCATGCAGTCCCTCCTCTGACTCTCCATCCTCCGCCTGTGTCAAGATCACCGCTGGGTGAATTTCTGCCTCCGCTCTCCCGCCGTCTGCCGTCCATCGACCCGGTAAGAGCGTCTGGAACGACGCTCCTCTTTTAAAGCTCGCAGACTCGCCGGCGTAACACGGACGGTTCTGGCACGGCGGGGAGCCGACTTCTCGAGGCGTGAGCAGCTGCGATGGCCACCAGCCCGGGCAGGCCCTGCCACTGTCACGGTGTGTCACCGTACCTCAGGCCTGACACCGGCCCGGAACAATCAGCAAGATCTAACCGGAAGATTAACCCTCCTGTTAAATAATCAGATAATTGAAGATTATAAGATGTTTCAGGCTGAGAGGAACCTTCAAAGCTCATTTCTGGAGAGAACGTTACCTAGTGAGATGTGGTTTATTTAGGACACAGTGTCTTCTGACCACAAATTTTTTTTTATTTTACAGCCTGTCTGTAACAGCAATTCATCAGCATTTTCCCAGGCAGTGAAACATTTAAAATACCTTTAGGAATGTTCTCATACTTAATTTAATTAGGTATTTTTATGACCCTAAATACCACACAATTTCCTGTTCCCAAGGGGTGATGATTCGGTGTAGATCACAGCACTGGCCTAAGCGAGCGGCTTCAGAACGACACTGTAATTGCCTCTGTGATTTCATTACCGTGATTCCGTGATCCAATACTACCGTGTTCCTCAAGCAGGATGTAACTGCACCAGGTTATTTGATTTTCAAAGATTTTGTTGGTGAATCTGTCCTCCAGGGGTAAGTAATTGAATGCTGGAGTTTGAGAAATTTCGTAATTAATTTCCAGATACCGGCCATGTACCAGAAGACACCTTCAGCGGCCTTTCCAGAATGATCTAGGTGTGTCTTCGTGTTTGATTGTGGACAAAAAAACCTGTAGATGTCTAACTGACATTAATACCACCCTCCTTCTCCCCCAAGAGTGCATGATTGCCCAGCAGGTCATGCTGTCCTCTCCAGCCGTGGTTTGAAGCTGACCCCCGCATTGTGTGTGCAGTTGTATCCTATTCTGGGATTTCCTCCCACAATCCTTTGTGGCAGCGACTAATACAGCACATCATGCTAGTTCTGTTTTTAGCTTAGCACAATAAAAAAAAAAAAAATAAACCTCTAACCCTAATTAGAAAACATTGTCTCTTGATGGAAACCTCCTGGTCTGACTCCAAGACAACATCCTGTTCGACTGTATGTGTCTGTCTTCAACACAGGAGTTCTGAGACCATGAATGTTTTTCAGGAATGCTAAGGGAGTGAAGTTCGGCTCCTGATCCATATCATATGTGGTCTGGCGAGGTATCCATGGTGTGTCTGAATAATCTGGTCAGTGGTCAGGAACTGAATTTGAGCTAAACAAAACACAATGTTTTCCTGCATTTGTTAACATGCATACATTCCACAACATTTATATTGTTTTCTAAAATGTATTTCCTCTATTATTATTATTATTATTATTCTTTTGTGAATGAAGTGCAGTGACTGTCACGCCCTTTGTAGTAAACATATAATGATGTCAGATACAAGGCCAGTTGATTGGGCCGGGCGGGAAAATGGTTTTCAAACCATGCATACACGCTTTGAAAAGTGTTTTTAATATGAACAGTAAAACGAGAAATCAAACTCTAAATAGGACTGTGCACATTTGGAAATGTTACAAGGCCAATCCATATGGAGTGGCTTCCATTTATGAAAACTACTACCTACTATTACCATTATTTGCTCATTTCCTCTCTGTAAAAAAGAGAAAACAAGACGCATTAACCCAAGTTGACTGCCCTCGGAGCACTGATAATATTGTATTTTTTGTGTTAATAGAAGTAGTCCCACTCAGTGAAAAGCCTTGAGCATCTCACAAATGCGGACAGCGTGAAACCCAATGTAACATGACGTGCGGGGACATCTGCATACCACAACAGAGGTACAGAAGAGAGAGAGCCAAGCGTAAAAAGAGTAATTCCCAAGCCTGATAAACACATTTGGACCCCTGCCAGTTTACGAAATGTTTTTTTTTTCATGCTATAAGCATATTTTATCGGTCACAGAGAGACCCCATAACCCCTCACCTACCATAAAGCTTCACTCTCCAGCTTGTGTGCGTCGTGCAGTTCGCTGAAGGAGCCCGCCTGGGAGATTGGCTATCAACACAACAAATTAAATCACATTCAGGTTCCTCCCAAGCTTGTTGTTGCCCCCCGTGGCGGGAGCCGTGGGATACCTCTGAGGGGGGGGGGGGCGGCAGATTGGCAAGAAGATGGACACCACCCACGTCCTAATCTTCACGTGTGATTTTTTTTTTATGCGTTTATCGCTGCCCCAGCTGGAAGCGACGGACGGCGCGATGAAAATCATCAGCCGGTTTCACCTTGCCGAGATGACGGGTCTCTCTTTGTTTGAGGCCGATAGAATGTTATATATAGTAAATACTCAGCTGACCTTGGCCAGGACATCTCCTATCTGGCAACCACAGCTTTGACAGGCCATCTTTCCCCCACATGCAGTCATCTTATAGTGGGGGCTTTGATTGCTGTATCAGGTGCAGAACTGCTATATTAGTGCCTTGTTATAGCATCAAGATGCTGGATTCAAAGGCTGTAGTGATACATGCCCATCGCTGGGATAACACATGTCACGTGTAAGCAGCCCTCAGCAACACACCCACACTGGAAGTGAGACCTCGGCAATAGGCACACACACAGGAAGTGAGACCTCGCCAATAGGCACACACACAGGAAGTGAGACCTCGCCAATAGGCACACACACAGGAAGTGAGACCTCGCCAATAGGCACACACACACAGGAAGTGAGACCTCGCCAATAGACACACACAGGAAGTGAGACCTCGCCAATAGACACACATAGGATGGGAGACCTCGCCAATACAAACACACACAGTCAGACCTGATCGGAAGAGACAGAGGACTCCAGAGTCGGAAAGAGGGAAAAACAAACACAGAAAAACATAAAGTCATCCCTTTAAATCAGAGCTAGATAAGATTTTAACAACTCTGAGCTATTAGTTAAGTTCTCCCCAAACGAGCTTGATGGGCCGAATGGCCTCCTCTCCTTTGTAAATGTATTATGTTCATTGTGGGCGTGGGGCTACCTATCACGCATGGTAATAGGAGCACATGGCCAGTGAAAGCTTGCCTATGGGAGTTTTACTTACAGAAAAATGTTCCAATCATTTGTCTTGGTCCTGCCTCCTCTAAAATCTGATTGGTTGTTTTCTTTGAATCAATAATTTTTCATTCTGGCCCCAGATCATTTTTCTGTATGTAAAATTATAAGTAAAAATGCTAAGAGCTTCCCTGAAGTCTGAGAAGGGGGGGCGACCGACAGCGTAAGTTTTGAAAGTTCGCTCTTAAGTTAAGGTCAAGTGTGACCCAACATAGCGAGCGCCTTACAGCCACGGTCACGGACCCTGAACCGGAACTGATCTGTCGGGTCGGGCTGTCTCCGTCTTCTGGATTTCTACACAGTTCCATTACCCAAACAAATCACCAACTGCTGAGTATCTACTAGTATCGGTGCATCGATCATGGGCGGCGCTAAAGCAGTCGATATCAGCCTCCTGAAACAGATGAGCATCTTAGGTGTTATTCACACTGAAAGTATTGGCGTTACTCTTTGCTGTTTATTATTGACCCTGAACAGCAGCTGGAAGACAGTAGAGGAGCTTTTTATGGGGGGGGGCTTCCTCACAGTCGAAAAACAAAAGGCCGAAGCCCGTTCCCCCCCCCCACCCCGCCGGTGTTATTAATAAACGCTCCCCAGCGGGCTTCCCACCACAGTGAGAATGGAGAGGGGACGAAGGGGCAGTATAAGAGGGAGCACCGGAGGAGGGGGGGTGGACGTTGGCCAAGTGCAGACCATCTAGACAGAGCGGTGGGTGGAAGGCGTGGACAACCAAGTGCTCTGAATGTGTGTGTGCGTGTGTTTGTGTGAGCGCGCGCGTGTCCGTGCAAGCGTGTCTGTCCAGCGGCATCAAGGACTCATCCCTCTCACTCTCCCCCAGAAAAACCGAATCCATTCATCAGCCGAGCACCGGAGAGCAATCTCCCTTCTTCCCGTCTGTCTTCCTCTCCTTCTCCACCTCCTTGAAGAAAGTTCTCCAGAGAGCTTCTCCTGCTCAAGGTAAGAGCATCAGCTTCTAACTTCTTCTTAACCCTCTTTTTCTGCCAATGAATTCAGCCCTGAACTTATCTACATGTGTTGGAGAGCCTTCAAGTAATGATGCTTAAAAAGCTTCAGCGCTCTAACATCTGAGATAGATTTCGGAATTAACTGCAGATGTCGGTTAATCAGTTTCACAACACAGGCAGTACAATATGTGCCCGTTACAACCTGCGAAAGTCCCTCCACAATTCAAATTGTCAGTGCAGTAAATTTCAGACTCCCAACTTCGAATTGCACCCTCCAAATATTGTTGGGGGTATTGTGTCTAAATTCTTCACTGCCGATTTTCCAGACGTAAAATGATGTGTTATTATTGTCACTTAAATATTTTTTTCGATTGAACTTCACATCATTGGAGGGAACGATACATCCTGAATTAAGAATGTGACTCCCTCAGCTCTCCATACCACAGTAATTGTCTACTTCCTGATAAGCATGACTTCTCCATCTCAAAAATGCGCTGTTCAATTCAGTCATGTCGCCACGGGACTAAGGAGCGGAGTAACGCTTGCATAACGTGGGGTCACGACCTCGCGCTTCCTGAAAACGGAAGAAAACAAAGCGTTCCTACTTCGACCATTCTCTGGGACATGAGCCTGTCTCTCCCAACACACCCCCAGGGTCAATGAGGATTTCGGCACTTTAACACCATAGCAACTAGTATCATGGAAATTTCTGGACTGAACTGTTTTGCAGATTAAGGAGATCAAATAACCTGAATCGCTTTCATTTGCGAACCTGGAAGTATAAAACTGTAAATTATACAAGTAAAACTTAGTGTCCATGAGTAGCCGAGATGACCCCCCACCCCACCCCTCGTATATCTTATGTGTATATTATGGACAGTGCTGGTCTACAACTAAAAGTCAGCCCTGAACTTTGGTAAATTTTGCCAGAATGATAAGTTATATTTCCCAGTCCACACATCAATTGGCGCACTGGGAAAATGCCTGGTCCAGGGTGGGCTTGTTGTTTGGGTACCACACTCAAAAAAAATCACTTAGTGCCCCCCCCCCCAACCTAAAAAAAAAAACAAAAAAAGAAGATGAAAACAGCTAGCGAGTAGAATCTGAAGATCGTAGCTAGCTAATTGTTTAGCAGAACACGCTTTCACCATCTCCTAAAAAGGAACACATTTAATTTTTGGTGTAGTAAGTGTTTGTGGCCGGCAGGGGTCCTTACGCAAATGCTTTGAGTGGCGGTAAACTTGTCACAGTAGTAGAGATCCACGTCTTATGGATGTCTGCCCAATAGGACTCTCTTCCCAAGTGGGACTGCGTCCGTTCATTGTTATGCTCTTATTTTCCTTCCTGTCTTCACCCTGCTTCACGGCGCCCGGGCGGCACAGCCCGAGCCAAACACCCGCACCGCTCCGTTCCTGCGCCCGTTGCCGGGGGAAACGCAAAATTCTTTGTCTCTATCGAGATACCATCTAGCAGTCCTTAATTCCCATACTTCTTCAATGTTTATGGAGTTATGTTAACTTCCTGATGTGGAGCAACTAAATCCACTCCCCGATTAGATTGTCGCTATTTATTATTTGTCCTAATTCAAATCCAGAAAAAATTACAAGGATGACAAGATGTCACTGCGTAGAGGTTTTGGTCTCATACAGTGACATAGAATGACTACATAGGTAAACACTGGTACAGAAAAACACACATTTGTCAGGTCCTAAGCAATCTTATTTCTGTCACTGTCTGTCTCGTGTTTCGTGGGGAAAGTGAAAGGAAACTTCAGAGGTAAAATTTACACTTGCTTACATTTGGAGCATAATAAAATGTGAAAATGCTAACATTATACTGTCTGAACAAACAAAAAAGCATCCATGCACACTCAGTCACACACAAGACCAGCAGACCGCAGAAGCAAATGGAATATGAAAATGGCTGTATAAAATTCTCAAGATGGCAAATACTATAAATATCTTTGAATCACGTAGACTATGATCATGTTCTATTTTATTCCCACAGTTTATGATTTACAGCCAACCACTGCTATAATCATTAACGAAAGAAAACACTTTTAAATCTTAACCACTGACATCTGTCTCCGCTTTATTGCACTGGGTCTGAGGAGGAAACACAGAGTGATGTTCCATGATTTTGTTGCCCTTGGCTCCCTAACGTCCTCCAGTTGCGACAATGTCCACATCTGCAAACAATATCATTGTTGGTATCAGGATCAAAACTGGTCTTCAAAGGCTAACCGTGGATCTTGTGTAGTTTATAGGAGAAAATAAAGTTTAACGCACAGTCGTTTATATATGTGGGCTTCGGTACAGCGCATCCCAGACGGTTCCAGCGCGGTAGCACTCGAGCAAACAGCGCGTTTTACGAGATACATTTTATTGTTATTACAGTTAAACCGAATCTTTAGGTCATTTCTCCTATCTATGGTAGGGAAATAAGTGTTTCAAAGCGACGCTGGTTTCTATTATTCGATGTAGGCCTACAGGATTTGCTGAAATGTTTTAATGTTACGTATGGTACGATTTGTTTTTAGATTGCACAGTCCGTGAACTGCAGAAAACCACGGAGGGATGTTTTTAGTAAATAAAAATATTTTTTATTTTAGTCATACCACAAACATGCAAATTGTGTATACATATTATGATTTGTTTTGTATAAAATAGCCAGTAACATATCCAAATACATATGAAAAGGTGATGTTTCATAGTACAACTGTGACATATTCTTTAAGTAAAATATCTCGTAGTGTACAGATCTCTGCAATCAGCCTAGAATGCAATAATACACAATAAGCAAGCAGCTATTCATGAACGCGCGGCTGGTAGAACGCGGGGTCGCGGAAAGCCTACCCCAGAAAACCCGAGGCATCAGGCATTGTGCACCCTGGAGTTCATGCGCAAACACACATCGCCTTGAAAATAGAATATACGCTGACACCTTGTGGCCAGTGAAAATACTACATGTTTATCACCTGTCTAGTATCACCGTGTATGAATTTTTGGGCAGTACTAGTAAGCAAATCCGGTAATATGATCAAACGTGCCAGCAAAAGTTAAATTATAATGACATATACAGGCAGATGATAACTAAAGTTGCAATGATACTGTGCTTTGTTTAGTATATGTATCTGATATTTTTTCTGAATCACAATGATGGCTGAATGAAAAACAAATGATTTCAAATGTGCCTGTTGTGTTCCTTTTAGGAAGCTGGAAACCTCCCACCATTCAGCTTCTAGAATCCAGTGATTGACCTTTGACCCCCCCCCCAAGTTGTTCTGTAAAGCAGAATGCAGAACGCCACCGGCGGTGCCAGCGAGGAGATCCCGCTGAAATGCAACATGTCTGGCTACCCCTTCATCTTCACCCTGATCCCCGTCGTCTACGGCTGCAACTTTGTCATCGGCATCGTGGGAAACAGCATGGTGGTGGCGGTCATCTACTGCTACATGAAGCTGAAGACGGTGGCCAACATCTTCGTCCTCAACCTCGCCGTGTCCGACCTCACCTTCCTCCTCACGTTGCCCATGTGGGCCACGGTCACAGCAACGGGCTATAACTGGCCCTTTGGCAGTTTCCTGTGCAAACTCACAGCCAGCCTCGTCATCTTCAACCTGTACACCAGCGTCTTCTTCCTCACCTCTTTGAGCATCGACCGCTACCTAGCCCTGGTGCACCCGGTCCGCTCACGCCAGTGCCGCACGGTGGCCAACGCCCGCATCACCTGCATCGTCATCTGGGCCTTCGCCTTTCTTCTCAGTGTCCCCACTGCTGTAACCAGGGACGTCTTCCAGATCAAGGACTCCAACATCACTGTATGCGCCATTCTGGACAGGAACGAACTCAACTACAATCTGGTGGCCCTTAGCCTGATGAAGAGCGTGCTAGGCTTCCTCATCCCCTTTGCCATCATCATCACCTGCTACTGCCTGATCGGAAAGGCTCTGCTGGATGCCCACGGGGTGCAGAAGAGTCGTTCACATGGCGATGAGGTCCTGAAGATGTTGGCGGCCGTGGTGTTGGCCTTTTTCCTCTGCTGGGTGCCGCACCAGATCTTTCACTTCATGGACACACTGGTGCTCCTCAAGGTCATCCAGAACTGCCACATGCTGGACATCATCGACACCGGCATGCCGTTCACCATCTGCATCGCCTACTTCAACAGCTGCATGAACCCCATCCTCTATGGCTTCGTGGGGAAGAACTTCAGAAGGAACCTGCTGAAGCTCCTGAGGGGGGGCCCCCCTGCAGACCCCTCCCACGCCGGCCTCAGTGCCAAGATGAGCAACCTCTCCTACCGTGCCTCGGAGTCACTGCACCTCTCTGCCAACAGGACAACCAGTCTGCCCAGTGTCAAATAAGCAAACAGCAACATGCTTTGCTAAAGTCGTAGAATCGTCCTTTTTTTTGTGGATGACAAGAAAATGGGGCTAACAGTGAAAACCTGTGTGCTTCAAAGCCCCAGAATGACTGCTGAGAGAATAACCAAACATGAATGTAATGGTGTGGCTTTGCTGACCGCTGTAAAGAACATAGATGCTGAAGTGACACAGCAAAAGCGTCAGGCATCACACTGAAGTCCATCATGAATCACACTCATCTATATCCTCCTTCCTGCCATTTTCTAAATGCTTATCCTGGTCAGAGATGTAGGAGATGGGGGGTGGAGCCTATCCCAGGTAACAGAAGTGGATATTTCAGGTCCATAAACGAAAAATCCAGACCAAGATTTTGTTTCAACCAATCCGCTGAGTACTCTGTGATTGTGACTCTTTATGCTCAACTGGTTGGTGGAAACAAAATCTTGGTCTGGTTTTTTAATTTCTAGACCTGAACTATCAACCTCTGCCAGGCAGTATAGGGTACAAGGCTGGAGTACATTCTGGATGGCATGCCAGTCCATCGCAGCCAGGTTTAATATGTTTAGTGGAATAAAAAGTTCCACTACACAGGGGTTCTGTAAAGTGTGGCTGTGTATATAGTCAAAACACTGGAAATGAAGACGGACTAGATGTATGTTCCAGATATCATTCTAGAACTTTTAGTGTAAGCAGGACCTATAATGCAGTCGTCTTTGCCTGTGTTTCTCTGTGGCGTCACAAAACCGACGGATGCTCTGTCTTCGTTAACGTGACGTGAGTGGAGACTTACTGCAGGAGCTAACTTTCAATGAATTAATGTATGTGAAATGGAAGAACGGCAGGGGTGTCTACAGTGATCTGCAAAAAACTCAGTATTTCAAGTTATATAGTGGGTTGGTGTTTTTTTTAAGGGAACCACTGCCTTATGTGGAATAGTGCTTCTGTATATCTGAGTCTTTACTCTGTCGTTTACTGTCATTTTTATTTATAAATCATGACCATGTATGTCATTTTTAAAACCCTAAAAAGTACTGATGTTTTATGGAGAGCTATTGTTATTGCATGAGTTATTGAAATGTGTAATAAACACATATCCCCACACGGGAAATGTTTCCGTCATTTTTTTCTCAGCAGTGGCCTGAGATTAAGCAAACATGATATTTGTGTCACCTTGCAACCAACATATACCATAATAAAAATGGGTACAGTAATTGCACACAGAACCGGGCCTGCCCAACCGGCGAGATAAGGGGTGCAAAAGTGTGAGTGAAAAATGTGTGAATACCCCTGGTTGCTTTGCATAACAATATAGATATTTGCAAAAGTTGTATTATTAATTCAGTAATTTTCTTCTGAAACAGATGTGAGCTGCCTAGTTAGCAGCCAGATATCCTGTGCTACTGAAATGCTTTTAATATGAATGAACTAACATTTTTTTTCTGCTGCTCTGGACGGGGGTGGGGCTCAGCAGAATCTCGCCTAGGGCACCAGAACACTCAGGACTGGCCCTGATTGTTCCCTCAAAGCAGGGGTGGGGAACCTGTTCCACGGAGGGCCGGTGCGGGTTTTTGGGATAGCCTCTCCATCAACCAATAATAAAACAGTGGTTCTCAACTCCAATCCTGGAGACCCACTGTTATTGGCTGATTGAGAGGGCATCCCAAAAACCCCAACCCGGCCCTCCATGGATCAGGTTCCCCACCCCTGCCTCAAAGGAACAAATTGGTCCTTTTTTCTGGACAGTCCATCTTCTAACTCCTTATCCTAGTCAGGGTTGCAAGAAGCCTTCCCAGGGCCCACAGGCCACAAAGGCAGCACAGGCCACAAAGGTAGAACAGGCCACAAAGGCAGCACAGGCCACAAAGGTAGAACAGGCCACAAAAGCAGCACAGGCCACAAAGGTAGAACAGGCCACAAAAGCAGCACAGGCCACAAAGGTAGAACAGTCCGTCTGTTCATCACAGGGCACATACACAAACCACTATACTTGACAGGGCAAATACTAAGTAATAATTCAGTTGCTACTAAAACACAAATATAAAACACAATGATTCATTAATGGTGAACAAACATGAGAGCAGTGTTTCACTATGGGCAGTGGTGGCTTAATGGTTAGGGACGCACACTTGTAATTGAAAGATTGCAGGTTCAAATCCCTGAACAGGGAGGCACCACTGAGGTATCCTGAGCAAGGTACCGCCCCCAAGCACTGCCCCCTGGGTGCCCTCTGCTATGTCACATATGGGTTAAATGCAGAGGACACATTGTGCTGTGCTGTGGTGTGTCAACAATGATCACAGATCTCTAAATTCACTTGTGTTATTCATGAGTTCTTCCTTCAGTAATTCACATATATAGTAACTGCTTGAGATGAAACATGCGTCACAATTCATTAATGATATATTAACATATGATCGGTATGTAACTTAGACTTAGTTTGTGGTTAATAAATAATACTATATTTGTGCCCCGGCGTTAAGTCTTTCCACAATCATACCCTATGAGCCTAACTGCATGTCTTTGAACTGTGCGAGGAAACCCACACGACAGCGTAAAACACGCAAACTCTAGAGCAGTGGTTCTCAAACTGGGGGTCGCATCGAAATTGTAGAATCTAAAAAAAAAAAATTACCTGTATGTAAATCAGGCTTGTCAACCTATGTAAAATATAATGTATT